ACTGAGGTGGTGGTGGTGGTGGTGGGTGGGGTGTGCCTCAGGGTCTCAGAATCCCCAAGTGTTAATGATGCAGTGATCTGCCTGTTGCTGCTGCTTCTATAGCGGCAGCCAAGAGTCCTTGCACACAGCTGCTGCTACCAGTCATGGTGTGGGACCGCTGCAGCACCAGAGACTCCTTGGGGGAGCTGCTGTTCTGGTGCCTCATCTGAGTGAGTGCCTGGCCTGGTGCCCTGCCCCCCAAGTTACACTACTGACCTTTAATATGTTTCTTATAATGTTTTAATTCCAGGCTATCCAACTGGTGACCCCAAGGGATTAACATACGGTCTATGGACTCTCACTTGGCTGCACTCCCCAACATTGTTCCTGTTGCTGTGGTGGCCAGAATCTTTGGAGCATGGCAGCAAGGGGGGCGGGGGGGGCCACAGTGGGCTCACTGCCTATGTGGCAGCACTTGTGTTGGGCTGGGAAACACTCTGGGATGCCGACTTGTGTTGTCAGTGCGACAATGGCAGTAGGAACTGAACCTTTTCTCTTTCCTCTCCTGTGAGACACAAAAATACCCAAAGCAAGTTAAATTTTATAAATCACTTTATTTCTTCCCATGACAGGACACAAAGCCTGGTTGACAAGCATCAAATAAAGTGTTGAGTTTTTCTCTCCATTTCGGGATCATTTAAAGAAAAGATGCTGTCCCTAGCCCAAACCCCTGCCTTCCAACATACTTTTAGACCCTTAGGATACAGAAAGTAATTGGATAAAAACAGCTCGGCTGCTGTAGTGTCCCTTTTACAAGGTGTTTTTTTTGTTGTTGTTTTTTTACATGTGCTGCACTGTCTCTGCCTTGTGGGGACCTCCTTCTTCAGCTTTAGTGGGGTACCACATGGCTTCCAGGACCTGCCTGTGGAGCTGGCTGCAGGGCTGAGACCCCAGGGTATGTTCTGAAGCTAGTGCTATACAGATGTGCAGGGTGTGGGCAACCAGCATCAGTGCCTAGCCAGCACACACACCTCTACTGTTCAGTAATCCTGGTTGCCATTTCATAGTATTGTTGAGGGAGCCTGCCCTAGGTGGTCCTACCAGTGCTAGCAGAAAGGATCTATGCGCCTGTATATGGGGCACAGGCATGCTTACCATTGTGTGGCATGGCCTGTGTTCAGGATGGACCAGAGCCAGGAATGTACAACTAGTGCAAAAACTCCAGCCAAGCCTTCTTGTAGTCCTTGATGCTTCACAGCAGTGCTACTCTTCAGGGCACTGGGGCTTTTGCAGCTCTCATTTGAATACGTGGCAAAGGGTGGAGCTTTTCAGAATTGTTGCAAAAGGCAAATTTTTGCAAGTTGGGTTTTTTTTCTTGTTAACCCAGCTGTTTGTGTTTCTAAGGGGTAGATGGTATTTCCTAACAAGTAAAAAAAATGAAGTCAAGTATTTCAGACACTGTGTAGTGGGAAGGAAAGAGAATTTGTCTAGCAAGTCAAAGCTGTTATTGCTTTGTACTAACTGGGAAAGAACAGATTGAATTAATTACCAAAAAATAAAATCAGCAGTCCCTGCTGAAATCTTGTTCCGTCTCAGAGAGCATGAACAAGGGCAAACCTTTGGTTTGCATATCTGTGCTCGGGACTTGGTGACAGGCAAGTGAAAAGGACAGTGTTGATTCACCTTGGGCCCACAGCTGAGATTTCATTTTATTAAAAAGTGTTTTTAAAAAAGTAATATAAATATTATAATAAAAATTTAAAAAGTACTTTGAGTCAAACAGATCCTAGGGTGATTGAAGTACTCCCCCAGAGTCACAGAAATAGGAGCTTCAGTGCTGACCAAGTTGGCAAGTGAAAAGTCACCCGTCAGGCACTCCCCTGGATGGTGGGTGGTATGTGTGAGAACCAGAACAGAATACAAGGCTTCCATCATTCAGGAGGAGTGAAGGTGCCAGAGAAGAACACAGAGGCTGCGTCTACACGAGCGGTGCACTGCACAATTGTTACTATGCGGTAGTGTCCCTGCGCAGTTTTTGGGTTTTTTGCTGACACTACTGTGCAGTAGCTTGTTACTACTGCGCAAGAGCATCACATCATGGTTAGTGCCTGCCAATGCTACTGTGCAGTGACGTCTCATGTAGAGGTGCCCAAAGTGTTGAGGAAAATGGACATTTGCAAAGAGTTCACAGTAATAAGCTGAGGTATTAGTAACTCAGGGACAATCTGTTTCTAAGCAGGATGACACCGTGATTTTTCTACCTTAAGTGTCTCTCCAAACGAACACAAACTGGTTAGGATCCAGAGGCCCAGACTGATTTTTTGAACACTGCAGTTTCTCTGATTAAACATTAATGACTAGCTTGGCTCCTGGTGTTCTTGCTGGACATCAAGGAACACTGCCTTTTGCAGTGTGATTTCCAGTCCAAGTGTGGCAGCCAGACCGATGATCTCAACAGAAGTTTCATAACTAAGACACTTAAATATCACCAAAGAGCACAGGTCAATCCTCAGAAGTGTACACCTGTTTCATGAAAGCACTCCTGCCTGCCATGGGTCTGACCTCATCAACCATTTTGCTTGGGAAGAATACTGGTGAAAGAAGACTCATGTGATAGCAAAAGAAACTCTTTAAAGAGATATTCCTCAGGAACTGCTGGAGTATCCACCCTCAGGGGACAGTCTGCAGACAGTTTGCATCAGTGCTTGCAGTACAGTACTAAGAGACCCATGGCCTAGAAGGTGGCTGCGCTGCAACCCCATCAACCAACACGTACGTGCTAGCAGGTTGTCTCTTGAGAAGGGATTATAGCCGAGTCAGTTTATAGCAGATTTCCCTGGTGGCCAATTCTGGCATTCTCAAGGTGCAAAAAAAGATCCTAAAATGTAAAGGGAAGCTTGGAAGGGCAGGGATGTGCTCTCTTAAGAGGCCTAGCAAAACTGCAAGACTCCGCTTAAGTAGGAACAACCTGCAACCTCTTGTCAAATTAATCCCCTCAGCTATACCATTCACACAGCTTGAGGGGCTGGTGGGCTTTAGACAAGGTCTAGGAGCTACCAGAATATACATCATACAGATTCACTGCCATTCCAGGCCTTCTCATTTGTAAGCAATGAGGGATCCCATCACACACTCATCTGAAGTGCTGGAGAAGAGGCCACTGTTTTATACAAGATGGTGATTGCCTTTTATGGGGAAGTTTACGTTTGTTGGTAACTCAGGAACTGGCAGACAGGTCCCCCTCCCTGCTGCATGTGTGCTGGCATTTCTCTGCTACTGCTACCTGATCTTTTTTCAGCTGTCTGTACTGAAAGCTGAAATGCAGTTTGCAACTGCTTCACATCCTATCGCATGCATAACTTCTAGAAAAGTAACATCTCATAATGGCTCATCCAACTGTTTGGTTTGTTCCGCTAAGTTTCCTCATTGAGATCAGGGCCAAGCTCTCCTGGATGGTACATTTAACTGTACTGACTGAAACACACTGCAGTGAGTCCATGTACTCAAAGGCCTAGGAGATGACTTTGTCTGCACAGTGAGGAGGTCTGGGTCCCATGCACAGGACCACTTGCTCAGGCCTACTTCTGTATTGTACCATCAGTTAAGACTCTCCAGATGGGATTTCTCTGTGGAGGCAAGGGACAGGGGGAGGAGGAGAGGAAGAGGGGAAGGTCAAAGACAAGCATGCTTCTGAACTAATGACTGATACCATGACAGCTGCCTGTGGTGAGCAATGAACTGTGCACTACAAGCATACCACTCTTGAGCTCCAGAGCTGCATTAATGGCGTACCTCAAGGCACAGGTGCAGGGCTGGTGTGTTGTCTCTACAAAAATCCAGTGGTTCATGTGGGGACCACAGAGAGCCTCGCTGTGGAAACATTGTGTGTTTCTCCCAAATTTGTCTTTCGTGTGTGCATGCGCGTTTCCATAAATATTAAACAGTACATATTTTTGCTTTCTTCACAGACTGAATAATCAAAGGAGACTGTACTTGGCTGGGGCACAAAGGGCATTCAGTGAGCTGAGGGAACCTGCTCAATGTTTATGAAACACTAGCCAGTTCCCACAGGACGTCAGCACATTTCCCCAGGCAGGAACTCGGGGGGCAGAACTTCCCTTCCACCAGTTGGGGGGGGGGGGGGGGGGTAAGGGCAGGGTATCAGGCAGTGCTAGGAGTTGCTTGGGCATGCAGGAGCTATATGGGGTGGGATACATGACATGGATGGAACTGGATGTAACAGGATCACGACATCCAGGCTGAGAGTTTGCATTGGTGACATCTATTAGATGGTGGAAATGGCTCCTGCACTATGGCCTGTGTTCAGCAGACCAGACAGGACGATCGAAATGGAACCTTCCAGCTTCAACGTGGTTAGTGGTTTTAAAGGGACTACAATGCTAGTCAGTGCTTTCCAGGCACCTCTTGTAGGCCTGGTCACACTGCACTGTTCCAGACAGAAATCTGCAGCTCTCTTACTAAAGGGATGCAGCATGCAGTGTCAGCTTCCAGTGTACTCCTCCTTTTCTCAGCTCCTGTCACTTAAATTTATCCACTCTTCCATCTGGTCAGTTGAGGTGTTTAAATGTGGGCAAATCAATACTGTAGGTGAGAGCTCGTCTTCCCTGTATGTATCCCAGAACCCTCTGAAGATTAGCTGACCGAGCCTTGTAGCCACCTGCCTCAACTTGCAAGACATGGCAAGGATCACCTTCCATTTTACTCACAGGAGTGCTGAAACACAATGACTGAGTTACTTGAGACTGCGCAGCATGTGAGCTGCAGGTTAGGCCCTCTCTTTAGTGCTGACCTTGTGGCCACATTGTCTCTCCCTGAGATTGGTATCTTTCTACCCAGTTTCCTTCCTCCTCCTGCTCTGTCCTTTCTGTAATAGCAGCTCCCTCTTTGACAGGGCAGCCAGTCCTGTTGTGGAGTCAAACACCTCCCTAGGACATCTCACTGACAAATTCCATCTGATAGGGAA